CAGGCAGGATTCCAACAGCGGAGAGTTTGCCCCTTGATACCCATTGATTTCCATTTTTAATAGGGCTCCTTGATGCCACACTCAGTCAAATGTGGCCCTGACATCAAGGGCTGTCACTTTCACCTCACCTCTGGAATTCAGCTCTTTTGTCCATGTTTGAATCAAGGCTGGAACTGAGTGGCCCTGGCAGAACCCAAACTGGACGTCACTGAGCAGGTTATTGCTGAGCAGTGCTGCTTGATAGCACAATTGGTGAGACCTTCCATCATTTTCCTGATGATCAACAAGTAGACTGATTGGGCAGTAATTGGCCAGGTAGGATTTGTCCTGCTTTCTATGTACAGGTCATGCCTGGGCAATTTTCAACCTTGTCTTGTAGGTGCCAGTACTGGAAGAGCTTGGCTAGGAGAGCAGCAAATTCTGGAGCACAAGTCTTCAGTACTATTGCTGGAATGTTGTTAGGACCCATAGCCTTTGCAGTATCCAGTTCTTCCGACTGATTCACTCCATGTGATATCAAGAAACTAATTGGTTGAAGACTGGTTTCTATGAATGCTGTGAATGCTTCATCCATATCTTTTGCAATGATGTGCTGGACTGTTCCATCGTTGATGCTAATCCAGGGAACACAGTAAAGCTATACAGTGAAAACATGACTTGTCCCTGATTTGCGAATGCTCAACTTACAAACGCTCGTATTTACAAACAGCTCACAAATAAGGGGTGTTTTGGATCACAGAGTGTATCCAAGTGGTTTTTTTTGGGTTCAGTTAAATGTAGTTAACAGAAGACTCGACAACAGCAATTTGCTTAAATATGAACATTTATTGAATAATAATAAAAAACAAAAGAAAGGAACATTTATTCATAAAATAAAAAGAATGAAAAAAAAAGAGAGGAAAAAAGCAATAAGCCTCACACCCTTTTGCCTGTCGGGTCCCCTCGATTGACTGCTGGTCTGGAGGCTGAGGTTGTTCTTGGCACCATTCATGATTCCAGTCCGAGGTGAAGTCCAGAGGTTTGGAACAAAACTCTCTCTCTTATACAAGTGTAACAAACAGCCAGGCACAGAATAACAATTTACAGAAAAGCATGCTGATTGTGCTGTCTTCAGCATGTACAGGAGTGTTCACAGACCTCAATCAAGATTATGCAGCTGTTGAAAATCAACAATTTTAGCCCTTCAGCCCATCCTATACAATCCACCCCGATGACATTTGACAGCGTATGTTACAATTGCAGAAGCAGATATAAATCAGTGACAGCCATGTGAGAACATACAAGAAGAGTACGTAAGCTACATTAGAAGATTAAAACTTCAGTGAAAATAACTATAATCAGTAGGAATAATATAACAATAAGGTGTATGATCAAATTAATGATCACAGTGGCATTTGGGGACCAACCCTTATATAAATATATATATATCACATCCCAATGTACAGTAAAGGCCATGATAGAACTGGAAAGTCGTGCCACGTGCCTGTGTGTTTCCGATGTGCTCAAAATTGAGAGGTGCCCACAGAGGATTAATGTTTTCATGCCTATGTTAATGGCAGTAATATCTTTAATCACAGCCACCGCGCAACTGTGTCACATACATACACGCAACTTAATCTATTTTGGCTGTTGTCCTGGAGTCGAGGATCCTGTTGCTGAACGCCCTCAAAACCTGAGAGAGGAGATGGAAAAAAAAAAGTGTGCCAGACTAGCTGGCTGTAAGTCGATTTTATGTTTTTTCAGTTAATCTATTTATATAATTTGCTGTAAAATGCAGTATATTCTAGATTTGCATTCCTTAATTGTGTTTTTTTTTAATCCTCCAGTTCCCTATATGCACATCACTTCACCCAATAACAGTAAAATAATACCATACATGGATTCAAAATTTCTCCAGCTTTCTTCATCTGTATCCGTCTTGAGGATACTTCTTCAATATGTTTCCTCCCTTGCCGATTTATGAATGACTGTACCATTAAGTGGTAACTACCTCCATATGCAGGTACCCCTTTGAGCTACAATATACATGGTATCAAACAATACAGCTCTAACATTCATCAGGCTTTACCTTCAGCTTATGTATCCCGCCATTTATTTTCCCCGGGGGGTTCCCTTACCACAGACTCCAACACCACCTAAGTTTTAGCTCAGCCTTCTTTCACATACACCAGCTGTCCTAACACATTACAATTTCACCTACTGGTTTAATCATAAAAAAATGCTCAAGATGGGCTTTGTGTATGTCATCCAATGGGCCCTTTCACTCTGTCCACTATTTCTTCTCCCAGAGTCCATATTCTTTAATGTCTGTAACATTTTGACATATTAGCCCATCACACTTTCTATTTTGATTGTAATTCTTTTTACATCCCTTTCATTGTTTTTAAGTCAGTTTCTCTAGGGATCTGTGTCACTGTTTTATCGTTTAAACTATGTTTGTCTGCTCTTCCAAGCTACATTAATCCTTTTGTCAAGTAGGTATACATGTCTGAGACCCGTTCTTCAGTGCATGTTTTGTATCTCTTGTAACATTCATTTTTGCATACTTACATCCGCATCCCATGACCATGTCACACATTCTTGACTCCCACATGATCTTATCAAATGATCTATGAGGTTTTACTTATCTCTCCACGTTTGGTTCCGATGCCTTGGGTAGTGGTTTGAACACCAATTCAATCTTTCTTAAAACAAAAGACAAGAACACAAACATCACCAAGAGAAAGCTATCAGTTTGGTACTCTCATTTAAACTTTCTTTTCACTAAAATGCATTTTAACCTCAATTGCCATTTCAACCCATTATTCTAACTTATTTTTTCCTTCTGCCATCAGTCTCCACCCTCAATTACCTCATCTCATTCAATTTTGCAACTTAATTATTATCACCACATCTAATTCGAGAGATCTGTAGAGATTTGCAGTCCATGAAATATAATCCTATAATTTTTAAAACAGAAGTCAAACATTTTTTTTTTAAAGTTACTTGATGACTCATTCTAGATATTATTATATCTCTATGTAAATTTGTCCAAATTCAAAATTCTTTTTATTCCCTTAAAGTCTCTAACCATTTTTAGGCATTGAAACCATTGAGACTGTGTGTATCATTTGTCATTATTAAACGCAACAAATTAGAAGAGACCCACCACCTCATCAACAAGGTATTCACAGGGATTAAATTCACAAGGGAAGAAGAAACCAAGAATCAACTTCCGTTTCTGGATGTTAAAGTAGAACAATTGACAAACGGGGAGTTCCAAACCTCAGTAGGCAGAAAACCAAACCATACAGATCAAATCCTCAACTACCACAGCAACCACCTGAACGTCCACAAACAAAGCTGCATTAGGACACTATTTAAATGCACCAGGACACACTGCAACACTCCAGAACTACACCGTGAAGAGGAAGAACACTGATACAAGATCCTCGCTTTAAACGGATATTCCCGCAACTTCATCCACAGATACCTAAAATGACAGACAACAACAGGAGGGCACAGTGCAACCTAACACACTGACCACACTGCCCTACATCAAGAACATATCAGAACTGACAACAAGACTCCTAAGGCCACTAGGAATCATGGTGGCCCACAAGCCCACAACCACTCTACGACGAATACTTACAAGAATTAAAAGGCCCCATTCCCACAACATGCAGAACAAATGTGGTTTACAAAATACCATGCAATGACTGCCACAAACATTACTTTGGACAGACAGGAAGGAAACTAGCCATCAGAATACACGAACATCAACTAGCAGCAAAACAGCACGATGAACTCTCCTTAATAGCCTTCATTGTCTGAATGTACAGACATCAGTTTAACTGGGACAAAGTAACCATAGTAGCCCAAGCCAAACATAGACACGCATGGGAATTCCTAGAGGCTTGGTTCTCCACCCATACTTCAATCAACAAACATATAGAATTGAATTCCATATATAAACCCATACAGATCAAAACCAGAAATGACAGTACTCACCATAATGGACAGGACAGTACAAATTCCAAGTGGAGTAGAACAACATCACTTCATGGGAGGCTCCACTGATGATGTCACCTAGCACGGTGGAGAAACATCTGAACAGAAACAAGCCAGCT